AAAGTATGTATTTTACGTAATTAAAGATCATTCACAAGACTATTTTCTGTATACGCTCGGAACTTTCTTCGTTTCGTTCACATCCGTAAACCGTAAATATGGCCTTCGATGAAGTGTTTGATACTGCAGTATTTTCAAGTGTGTAGCTCTATTTATAATGCAGTTCCTCCGTAACTCTACACGTGGCTTGTTAGTTAACTCTAATTATTTTTGTAACACGTAATTTGATTGCTTTGTGTGGGGTAACCACGAGAAATATTAGCTTAGGATAGTGTTTAACACTTTAGCTTTAGTTGCGGCACAACAAAACTATTTACGAATTAAAATTGAAATTTTAATTGAGACCGGCACTGACTTGTAAATTTTATAAGAGGGAAAATGTTGCCAGAGCAATACAGATCAAAAATTAATTTATGTAATAGCAGATAGAAGTGGAAACAGTATAAAATTTAGTATCACAAACATGTTTTAACATGTCATCAACTGTGTAGTGCCGACGTAACCACTACCCCATATCGTCCCGTTTCGTAATAGGCGACAGAGGAAAACTGAAAGAGGAAATGGGCATCAAAATATCCCTGATATCAAGGCAAAATTATAAAAACCGTGATTGGAAACGCATCTGCCAAACGTGGCGACTATCAGGGAGGCATTTGTTCACCAGTAGACTTTTGTAGTCTGTAATGGATGGATGGATAGACAAAAGATGTTATGGATGCTATTAAGCTTCTATTAGGAAAGCCATTAGGTTCCGATAGGTAGAAGATGCAAAATTGTTCAAATTCAAAATACACTAGTGACTAGAAGCGGGGCTTAATATCAAAAGTATTTGCTGTGTTCGTTAATTCGGTAGCCAGATGTTAAGGTAACGGCAAATAATCAAGGTACCCTTTTTTTAATAGGTTACCATGATATCGAAGAAATTTTGAAATCAATTATGTCATCTAAACTAATAAAAACATTTTGTTGAGGATATGTAAGAGATTGAGTGTGCGCCAGAAACTTAAAATTATAATGTATGTAATTGTTTAATGAACGTAGTTATAGTTGTCTGTATGTGTGATTGCATAAGCATTGGTGGCGGTGACCGTCAATAACTGAGAGAATAAAAGTATGTACAAAGTAAACAGTCATTTTACAAGTCCTTAATTCCTATATACAACAGTCAGTAAATTTAATCCAAATCTAAATTCAAATAAAATAATAAAAGTTTTTTAATACTTGAATCATCATCATAATCATTACATGTTATAACAAGTCCACTGCTGAATGTAAGCCTCCCCCAAGGAATGCTATAAAGCATGGTCCTGAGCAACCTCCATCTATTGACTTCCAACATCTCCTATCAGGTCGTCACTCCATCTAGTGGGGAGTTGTCCTATACTTAGATATTCCCAGACAAATACTTCTTGTATTTCGAATCAGTGTATATATAACACAATTGTTTTTTTTTTAACCATTAGTTCACATTTTTGTATCGCGAATATTTATAATCTTAAAATCAATAATCTCACGATGATATCATGTTCAAAAAGCCACATACGTCTGGTATATCTAGTACGTGTCATAATACATACGCTTGGCTAATCTGGGAAATAAGCGCCACAGTATGATGGATATTCTAGGTCAGTGAGCATAAGTGTTGCAGTTACTTAATTTATGTCTGTTGTTATGTTCCAGAAGTTACAGATACTCTTGTTAAGAAATTCTTAAGCTTGAGAGCATAAAAACAAAGCGCGAAATAATGGACCAGATAATGAGAAGGAGAATATGTTTGTAGAACAGAATTTTGATGACCATAGTTAAAGAAGGCTACCTTTGACTTTTATTTGGGATATTTATTTATGTTTTATTTGCACACCAAGTACAAAAGGCATTCTCTAACAGTCTACCTGAAAGACACCTACGTTTACAGAGTATATGCATAACATAACCATTACTACATACTAAGTTACATACTATAAATATAATTACATAAAGATGTTATATAGATATATGTACAATCACAATCATCGTCTTCTTCTTCATCACCACCATCGTTATCAACATCATTACACCCCTTCAATTATATTCCCTTCATTGACTTCCTGCATGTTTACCAGGTCGTCACTCCATCTAGTGGGGGGACGATCTACTCTTAGCCTGCCGGTACGAGGCTGCCAGTCGAGAACCGTCGGTGGTCGGTTCTTCAAGCTATATGGCCTGCCCATTACCACTTAAGCTTAGTAATCCGTTGACCTATGTCAGTTACTTTGGTTTTTAAGGTTTAAGTCAATCACGCAGAGAAACTCCGATCCCTGTCCATAGCTCGCTGAGTGATTTTGAGCTTCTTCACACGTCCAGCAGTGAAGGACCACGTCTCAGATCCATAAATCATCACTAGCAACACTTACTGGTTGTACAATATATTTTTAGGTTTTGAAGTATGCCTGACGAGAAGATGTATCGTAATCTCTCGAACGTTACCCAGCCGAGTTGACTCCATCAATTGACCTCTCGGTCGAAGTTGGGCTTAACTAGTCGGAATATTTGCCCCAGGTAAACATATTCGTCAACAACATCGAGCTTAGTAATACCAACAACTACCGGCATAGGTGTGATATGAACGTTACACATGACTTTTGTTTTGTCCATATTCATCTTAAGATAATACGTATAATTATGTACATATATTTACTTTATACTAGTAATACATATATACTTACACGTAGAATATGTACAATATCTAGTTTATATAAGATATTTTTACAAACTTAGCATCTGCGAGATGAGAACTAAATTTGACGTGGTAGAGCCATGCTGCAGTTATATTAATAGTATAGTTGTGGCACGAATGTGTCGGCTCGACTGGGGAAGGACCACGCTCTCGCAGAATACTAGCGTAAAATAGTAGTTTAATGCTGCTGTATTTCGTATGGTGAGTGTAGAGTACCGGAAACCTATTTTACTGGAAACGGGGCATTCAATTGCAGTCATCACTGGTGACAACGCATCTGCATTTTGATTCGTAATCGAGTATAGATGTAGTTGTCTATGGGCCACAGCAAACACTCACCATCGGATGGTCTGTGTGCTCGTTTGTCACCCTATCCTATAAAATAAAAATAAAAATTAAGGGCAAGCGCGTTGGTGATTTAAACGCTAAAATTTCCGGGTTGCAATAAATTTGAACAATAAGTTTTTAACGATCTAATGCCGTAGCGATGTGCCCGCGAATGACCGAGCTAGACAACCGAGATGGACAACTGCTACTCAAATAATCCCGTTTCTTAATACAAAACTAGACCGATTATATATTTATTATTCACACACATTTACGTGACAGAGCTAGATTATGGTTTTAGCACCTTGACAGCAGGCTTGACCGGAAAAGCCACGCTCTCACAGAATACCAGCGTATATTAGCAGCTCAATGGTGCTATGTTTCGTATAAACGAGGCATTCCATTTTAGTCCTCAGGGGTGGCAACTCATCTATATTTTGGTTCTTAATTGAAGATAGATGCCAACAGTATCCGCATACTATAAATAAGACAGCGTGCTCGTGTCACCCTTATCCTGGTAAAGTCTAAATAAGTGTATAAAGTATCTTTAATATTTATTTTAGTTTTATTTTTTTTATTTTTTGTGCTTCATAGTGTGATTTGTGGACGTATTGACAACGACAAGCAGTTAATAGGTCTATGGAATTGTGACCGGGTCGACCTTGGTCGAGAGTAAGGAGATAAAATCTTAGAAGAAAGTATTAGTACATGTTATGAGCGGTAGCAATTATTCATTGAAATCACTTATATTTTGTATTATTTTTATTCATATATTGCCATCTAACATATTGTGTATCTTTCAATTCTAATATTCTTTTTTTTTCGAGTGATATGATAATTTAGAGGTTTTATTAAAACTTTTATATTAATGATTTATTTTATTATGAGATACTTAAAACATTACTACTATACCTAATTTAATATTTTCGCAACGTTGCGTTACCTAGTTTAATATTCCTGGACGTCGAAATCTCGAAATTCCACAACCGAAATATATTGATTCCTTCTTCTGTGTCACAATTTAAAAGGAATTTTTTTAAACATAATATTTTTTACATTTCGCTGTTTTTAAGGACACAACCTATGTCGTCATATTTATGTTGTTACATTTTGTTACACATCTTATAATTCAATTACATAAGTAAGTACATCATGCGTAAGTTGACTAACTCACCCAATTTACACAAAGTCGATAGCACGAGTTATTTTGCCACTAATGGTATATTAATTGATGATGACGTTTTTACGTTACCGACTCTGATGGTAAGATAGTATTACTAATAACTATGTTACGATACCTTATATTTGCCGTGACTTGTCGTTACAAGAGCCATGGTTGTCGTAAGAAGCGACAAACGAAGCATCTAGAAAGTTTTAAAGTAATCCGTAGAATGGTGTACCAGATGTGAATAATCACACCGACTGTAGGCTAATTTACACGTCTTTCAGAGTTTGATGATGAAGAAGACGATAACTAATATGCAAGGTCCTCGTTGCGGACAAAAGAGGGATGGATTTATTTATTGTAATAAATGCATCATATAATTAAAGTTGAACATTATTTTAAGGCTTAAGGGGTGAGAGGAATATATCAAAGTCTAAATATTATATACATACATTTTTAATAGATTTGTGTATATATGCAAGTCCCGGTTTTTTTATAAATGAAAATAGTTCATAAAATATATGCACAGTTAACATTACGTGGATTATCTGTGGTAAGTATAATTGAAATCAGACGATCAGTTTCAGGGAAAATAGCAATAAAAATTTCGTCGTGGTCAGAGATTAGAACACCGCAGCAGTAGAAATTTATTTGTAGCTGGTTCTTAATTGAGAATAGATGTAGGTGCCTATGGGCCACAGCATCCACTTACACAACACGTAAATGGACCGTGTGCTTGTTTGTTACCCTTACTTGACAAAGTTGTCGAAATGACCAAAAATGTTTACACAGGGAGCAGTACCAAGGTGTGAAGCCGCCCGTTCTTCGCTCCGAGTTGGACTTCGATCCGGGTTCAAAGTATCACATACCAGCGAACATACCATATATAAGGTAAGCTTTATGAATTAACTACCATTAATTGATTCAGAAGTTTGTCTTTCAAAATAATATCCTTATTACTGGGAAACATAACATAAATAAAATATAAAAGCATTAAAAACAAGCTCTTTCGATCTCTTAATTATAAATAAAGGAAGAAAAAACATGTATTCGTTTGTAACAACATTGACATTAAAAGGCGTGCAGTTTATGTCGCTTTAATCACAGATTAGACCTAACTAAGCATAGTATTTCTTGTAAAAAAGCCTGCGCTAGTCTTCCGTTAACGAAGCTACTCACGATGTTCCGAAACAGTCCGGAAATATCACAAACCGGATCTACTATAACCTGTTAATGAAACACTCGTACTGTACTTGTTCGTTCGTTACATAACAAATTAGTTGAAAGTGTACTCCTTGAACTGTAGTTCATAAGAAATGTTCATGTTTTGATAATATTATATAATATTATACTGATTATCAGGTAGAATATAATAATATTATATTCTACCTGATAATCAGTGGCTACTGCTACCCATGACCGAAAGGTTAAGAGGGAATTCATCGCGCTCTGTATTATGTTGACTCTCATACCTTTCAAGCACACCAGTACATGCAACGCTATTTGGCTACAGAAGGCTGAACAAGAGCCCCATTGACTACAAAACATAGAGGTAGGTATTAAAAAAAAAAACAATTCCAACTGTTACGTTATCACTTTTTAAATTTCTTGACTTTCCTTATTAAAATATTCCAAATAAAAATAAAATTGATTAGAATAATATGCTAAAGACTAACAATAATAGACAAAAATGTTCTAAATTTTATTTTAAATACACTTATTATGTAAATTGGAACGCTGTAATTATTTTATGACCATCGGTTGATCTTTACGGTGTGTGTTTCTTACATCATATTTAAATATTTTACGCAATACCGGTAATAAGATATAGCGGACTGACCTCATAATCACGATTAGAAATTAAATAATGAGTACGTTAAGTCATGCTGCCATAAACTATTGAGAAACTAAGATCCCATTACGTTCAAAATCGTCCTATAGAAATTTCATTTTATAAAACTTGCAAATTGGCCTGAAGCAATGCATGTTCATATGTAGAGCATAGTGAGATATTTAATTTATATTTCGTTTATTTAAATAGAGAAAGTATTTTTAATGTTTTATGATAGAACAAATGATTAAAATTATAATTTTTCTTTGGAAATTAATCAGTTTTACAATTACAATGTTATAAAAATTTCATGAATTTATGATTGACGATATTTTGTTTGCTTTTAGAAAAATGTAATAAGTTATTTTTAGTCTGTTAGGATTTCACTAACTTAGCGTTGCCAGTGACTACGAAAATATTGTCAATATTTTAAAATTTACACGTAAAAACAAAATCTGGACTCAAAATTGAAATCTTAATAATACTTGTGATATACTTGTAATAATACTTTTATAGGCCATTAACAAGCTTTGTAATAAAACCAGTTGTAAACATTTAAACACATTATATTTTAATACTTTTGGGTTTTTTAATACCATTCATTTGACATACGCACGGTTCAGTCGCAAAAACATTAACAAGTACTTAGCAACTAAACACAGGACAACATTTAAAGCTAACAAAATAAAATAATAAAAAAAAAACAAATAGAGATCAGTCCTTAGTGATGGAACTCATGTTCTTGCCCCCCTTCGGAGCCTCCAAAGTGTCCTTCGAAACTTCCGGAGTTCCCAAAGCTTTCGTGACCTCCCTGGGAAAATTCGTGCTTCTCCTCGTGCTGAACGATTGGCACTGGCACCTTCACTGAATACGGTACGTGCTTTTCGACATGGTATGGCACATGCTTTTCAATGTGTACAGGTACATGCCTCTCAACTGGTACTTTCACGGGATAAGGCACTTTCTTTTCTACTGGGTAGGGGATAACCTTCTCCACGGGGTAGGGGGCCGGCACTGGAACTTTAACTGGGTAGGGCACTGGTTTGTCCACGTGCACAGGAACTGGGTTATCAACGGGGACCTTCACCGGATAGTGTACTACCTTCTCAACTGGATAGGGCACGTGCTTTTCAACGTGCACTGGTACGGGCTTGTCAACATGCACCGGTACAGGTCGGTCAACTGGCACTTTAACTGGATAATGGATGATCTTTTCAACTGGGTAAGGCACGGGCACCTTGACAGGGACCTTCACCGGGAAATGCACTTCCTTTTCCACTGGGTAAGGTTGTGGTACATGTACTTTTACGGGCACAGGAACGTGTTTCTCGACGGGATAGGGAACCTGTTCGTACACTTTTACCGGGACGGGTCTGTCAACATGCACCTTGACTGGTACGGGTACGTGCTTCGTCACTGGGTATGGCTTCTTGATGTATTCCGGTACCTTGTGGTACTCTTTAACGGGGTAGTGTACTGTCTTCACTACAGGGTACGGTTGAGGGACTGGTACTTTAACGGGCACTGGCACATGCTTCTCGACGGGCACGGGGATGTGTTTCTCTACTGGGTAAGGCACGTGCACTTTCTTGACAACGGTGATTGTTTTCTCGTGATGCACTTCATGGCCGTGTTCTCCACCGAAGTTGCCACCATCTCCACCAAAGCTATGCTCTCCACCGAGACTGTGTTCTCCACCGAAACTGTGTTCTCCACCAAAGTTGTGTTGTCCACCAAAGTTGTTTTCTCCACCAAAACTGTGCTCTCCTCCAAAACTGTGTTCTCCACCAAAACTGTGTTCTCCACCGAGGCTTTGTTCCCCACCAAAGCTATGTTCTCCACTAAAACTATGTTGCTCCCCTCCAAAATCACCACCACCGCTAAAACCGCCGAACCCACCGTGGTCGCCAATTTCTGAAAGACCTCTCTTGTCCTGCTTTTTACTTTCTTCCACAGGTTTTGGTTCAGCCTTTGAATCCTTTTCTGCCTTCTCCTCTGCCGTGGCCAGGCTTATAGCCACGGCCAAGATTAAGGAAGATCGCTGCAACAAAATAATTAGTATTTAAAATTGTTGTCTTTAAGTATATTTTACTGTAATTTATTCTAAAACCACTAAAATCATTAATAGGAAATAAAAAGTTAAGATTGCTGATTATTTAGAAAAATAATTTTCTTTTATTTATTTAAGTAACTGAAGATATTCTTTTTTATTTAATGATTTATAATACTAACCAATAGCCTCATAATCGCTTTGTTTGTTCAGCGAAGGCTCGTACGGAGTGTGTTGAGTCCCACGCCGCTTGCCAGTTTTATACCACCAGTTTCGTTTCGCAGATCCAATATTACATACTTTCGCTCGTAGTAAGCGATGTGCGCGTGTGTGCGTGCACAAATTGTATTTATATTTTTTTTGTTCATTCCAAATGATGGGTAACTCGGTTAGCAGTGCATCGATTTTGTAAGATGAGCTAATTGTCCATTTTAATTAGACATCGACAGATTATCGATGTGTGATTATCGATCGTACTCGCAAATGTTACAATTAAACAATCCGTTTAAATTATTCCGACAATAATATATAATTTCGTAACATAGAGTAAAGCTGTCTATGAAAACATCATAGCAAAAGTTTTAGTGATAACACTGTGTGACTTTCATAAAATAATTGACACTGGTAGAATCAAAAGTTTTGCCAAACTTGGAATTGTTAAAATTTGTAAGGTTTGCGGTGTAATGTTAAAAATTTATGTATGTAATTGTTTTGAGGAATTATTAATAATAATTCTTAGATTTTTAAATCATTTTTTTATAGAAGTAAGAGTAGCATACAAGCATTTTCACCTGATAGTAATTCTACATTATAAGATCTACATTTACTGACTGCCTCCTGGGTCTAGTGGTTGTAGTAGTACGACTGCTGATCATGAGGTCCTGGGTTCGAATCCCGGTTCGGGCCAAAAATTAATTATTGAGTTTTTCTGTCAAGAAATTCTCAGTAGCTGCCCGGAGTCAGGAAGTTGGCGGTGTCTCCCCCGTGCCTCGGAAAGCACGTAAAGCCGTTGGTCCTGCGCCTGATCTCTCTCCGGTCGTTTCGGTTTACCATCCCATTGGATTATGAGAGTGAGGGAATAGAGAGTGCACCTGTGCTTACGCATACACTTCGGCACTATAATCCTGTCCTTAGCCGCTGGCTGGCCTCCGCTGAGGCAGGCCGCCGTGGCCGAAATTCGGTCTGGAGGACATTATTATTATTATTAGTTTATCCTCAATTAAGAATTAAAATGCAGGTGCCATCCCTGATATTAATATGGAATGCGTCGGTATCAGTTAAAAGGCTCTCTGGACATCTACACTCACCATACGAAATACCGCAGCATTAAGCTGCTATTTTATGCAGGTATTCTGTGAGAGCGTTGTTCTTCCATCATGCTACAACCTTAATATAGCTGCAGCATGAGTCTACCACGTAATATTTTTTACCCGCGTTGTGGCGCCGCTTATAGTGTCATTAATCCTGTTTCATCCCGTGTGTGTCGTAAGAGGGATCTGAAAGATGGGATATGAAAGACGTTATGGCTTTTGTTAGATGGTGGTATAACTATCTTGTTTACACCATATTGTTTTATAACTGGCCGGTACGATGCTAAAGCTTTACGCCGGTTTCGCGCCAATTGTTTTCGGAAGCTGTCAAGTATGCAAGACTCACATTATAATTTAATATTAGTCCACTGCTAAAAATGGTCTCTCCCGTTGTAAGGAGGAGTTTCCTTTATTTTCACGCTTAACAGATGAAGAGAAAATCGCAGTTCCAGATGTCTGGCACACTTGAGGTAGCTCTCCGTCGCCGGTCTGGCTATTAAGTTTTGAGAAAATACGGTGGTGCTTATACTGCTATTGCATTCTATGGAAAGCCAATATGATTTTCAGGCATTTTCCATAGTCGCCTCCTACGATACCCACGAGATGAAACTGAGTGATGAGTGACTGTATGATAAAATTTTATTGAATGATAAAAATGATAAAATTAAAGCTTTTACCTATCGCCGCTCTTGGCAGTAGGAATAGAGCGATTACAAAGTTGTTTATATATATACTCGTAATTGAGTGTGTGTGTGTTTGTGTGTGTGTGTGTGTGTGTGTGTGTGTGTGTGTGTGTGTGTTGTGTGTGTGTTACGGCTACCCCAATAGCTTTACGTGCTTTCGGCTGGGATTCGAACCCGGAACATCATGAATAACAATCGCGTTAAACATCACTAGAGCAACGAGGTAGCCAACTATACAATATATTTAAGAATAGATTATAAAACTTGGGGGCTAGATAATTATAATTCCTTTTGTCAAACATGAATATGAATTTAGGAACTCCACTTCTATGAAAACGTTTCTAACATTGATATAATATGAACAATTTGTGAAAACGTAGTAACTTCAATTAATTTATACACCTTTTGTGTCAAAATGTAGATGCGTTATCATCCGTTCGGACTAAAATAGAATATATTGGTACAGTAAAAAGTGTCTCCAATTGTTATCACCTCAAGATATCATTCTAAATGTCGCTTTTATGATTGGACTTTGTTTCTTAAGCTGGGATAAATTTAGATGTCTATGGAGCAAAGCATCTAAGTACCATCAGGTGGAGTGAGTGCTCGATTGTCAATCATATTCTATAAAATAAAAATAAAAAAACGATACAAAATATGATTATGCAACTATTTAAATAGGTTTTACTATCTTATGCTGGTATTATTTGCTTGCCTTTTCCCTGTCGAGCCGACCTATTCTTGTTGGTTGTAGAGCATGGCGCTATTGCGTAAAATTCATCACATTTTATCAAATTTTGTGACGAAACCGGGAGGGATAAACCTCATTTACACCACTATTATCCGGTTTTCTTATTATACTGTGTAGCTTTGATGCAATCATTATCGTAAAGATCTTTTGCGGTTTAAAGATAAAACGATTTTGTGACTTTGTGTGAGTCCATATTATCCCGTAGATGTCAAGATATTTTCTTAAGTCTGGAAGATTGTTTTTTTTTTCTAATTGTATTTTTTAAGTCTGAAAGAATCCTGAAAGATTGTAGCTCTCAATGGATTGTGCTACCATCTTCTATATATACGAATGTAAAGTGCAGAGACCAGCGACAGGAAGAATAGTTGAATTTGGGACATATCTGGCACAAATCTTCGCTCCTAGCTCAGTGTTCTGCGAGACTTTTACGAGCTGATCAATACAAGGATGAGGAGAAGCATCGTTTATAGAAAATTTCTTACTAACGTTCAAAAATGAAATTAGTTTTGTTTGTAGCAGATCTATTAAAGCTTATATAAAAGTCCATTGCTGTACATGGGCCTCTCCCATAAATTGGTAACGGTAGAATTTTTTGTTATATTGATTTATAATCAGGAAGATGCTGCTACCCATCTTCTGTTTTAGTGTCCATCTGTCGCCTCTTATGATATCAACTAATGGGGTAGTGGATATTCTTGCACCGCCACTACACGGTTCATTGCAAATGCGCATGCGCAGACCAAACTTTTTTTTTAAAACTTTGAAGGACAATTAACGTAAAGACTCACGTGCATTAGGTCTATAACTCGATTATAACTGCACGGATTATTTTTATTAGTAGATATTATGTCTATTAAACTAAATTACCGTTAGTCACCTTGGCTGGAAAAAGGCATAAGAACGTTTGATTTTCTAACAAATAGGTTTATACGCAATAGAAGCAATAAAATAAAATTGACATTTTGTAATAACGCGTTATTGTTCTTATTTATACGGCCGGCTTATTGCCACCTTCAGCTTCTGATCCGCTAGGCTACGATAGTTACTTTTGTTCTTATGTAGTCTCTCGTTATGGATTTTATCATGGAGAGCCTCTGCGAATAGACATTTCATCGCTGAAAACCTTATACGGCCAACAGTGAAGGACCACGTTTCGGTTGTGTTTTCATTCTGTGAGTCATCACTGGCAAGATATCGTAACATAACATAATACAACTATATAGATCGAAGAACCGGTGAAGAAGCCTCGTACTGGCTACTGGCTAATGTAATTTTCTGTGAGCTCCCACCCCCATAACAGTAAGTTAAGTAAGTGACTGGATAGTACTACTTGGCAATTGTCTTGAAACAAAGAAAACCATGGTTTGCTATATGTCTGAGGACTAAGATGGAATGCCTGACTGTATTTACACTTGCCGAAAAGCACTGAACAGTTAGCGTCTTGTCGTCATAATGAAGTCAATCTCATTTTTCATCTAACCGTCGGGGCTCGACCAGGTCTACTTCCCGTGCTGCTTCTAGAGTTCATCATAAAGAGTCCCTCTTACTCCATGAAGTCAGCAAGCTGCTGGCCCCTTGAAAACACGTGCGCAAATGTAATGCGGCAGAGGTATGTGGAGCGGACCTAGTACTTTTTGGGTAGAAAAAGAACCCTACTTCCCAGAAAACAGAAATTACATCAATATTACTATCATCGCCATTACAGCATATGAAAATACTTCTGGAATATATCCTCTTTATGGAGGAAATTTAGTCATTATTACAGCTTATGAAAAGTTTACGAGCTAACGTTAAGTAATATACATAGGCCACCCATATAGACTGCCATATAATAGAGTTATTTAACATAATAGTAGCGTTAGGCAGGTGGGCTTGCAACTCCAGTTTTTTTATTATTTTGAGTTTTTATCACTAAGATAAATAAAGGATAATAATGTACATGGTAGAGTCACGCTGCAGCTATATTTTAGTTGTAGCACGAATGGGTCGGCTCGACCGGGACAGGACGACGCTCTCACAGAATACCAGCGTATAATAGAAGCGTAATGCTGTTGTGTTTCGTAAGGTGAAAGTATAGAAGAAGCGAACCTTTTTACTGGAAACAAGGCATTTTATCTTAGTCCTCACGGGTGACAACACATTTGAAGTTTGAATCTTAATCAAGGATAAATATAGATGTCTATGGGTCAAAGAATCCACTTACCATCAGGTGGACTGTGTGCTCATTTGTCACCCTATTATATATAGAAAAGTGGTGCTTCTGCTCATCTTCTGTTTTCTTTAATATAAGTGGAGGCGGGGGAGGGGAGAAAAAACGAACATATGGCCCACCTGATCGTAAGTGACTACCGTCGCCTATGAACAACTGCAACACTATGGAAATTGCAGACGCGTTGCCGGCCTCTTAAAAAAGAGTAGGCTATATTCTTGAAGGTCTCTAACACGGCTTG